CAGGTCATCAGGAGTGGTCATACTCAGTAACTTCTGCCATTTATTTCACAACTGCAGGTCCAGGAGATGAAGATCCTAACCCTAAACATCCCAAAACACCAGACAAATGTGACCCCTCCTTATCTCTTGATGCCATTACCAGTCTCCGAGGAGAAACAATGATCTTTAAAGACAGGTACTCTTGAGAGTCTTTCATCAAACCTGTATGTGACAAACATTTGCATGGCCATGTTTGCAAACTGCCAAAACATCCAGTCAAACTTCTAGAGTCTAACAGGGAAAAGAATAGACTTTTGGGCAGTTTATTTACATGTTGCAGATCCAATAAATGACTGATGAATAGACACTTTCCTTTCCAATGGATAATCCTAACATTGAGCAGCTTCTTTTACATCTTTGATTATCTTTCTTATAAAGACAACAAAGTAAAGTAAGTAATCCAATTTATTTGAAAAACAGACAGATACTGAGAGTAATTACTGAATTAGTAAAATATTACTCATTAATGTCCATAAGAATTCCTTTTGGCATGGAAAGACTTTGATTTCAGATACCTAGGCTGGAATTTGAGAGGGGGAATGCTTTGCAACATAAATTTATAGGTATGAACATTGAAACATTAGTTTTCAATTTCTAAATTGTTGTACGATGCTCATTTGTTTATCTGTTCACTAATCCATTAGCTGCCCCCTCATTTTGATCCAATAGCATTCCCACCATCTTTCACACAAGTCTAATTACATTGTGCTCTGGTGCTTTCTCACATTATCAGTGAGATAATGTGAAAACTACATGGAACTACATGGAAAACATAGCTTGTGTATTCATGTTTTTTTTTTTTTTCTATAGCCCAACACAGTGCCTGGTATATTGCTTGCCACTTGCAAGATTTACAAAATAAGAAAAAAGCATCATGTCAACCCACAAAAAGACTCAGAGCTTTCACTAAAGCTCTGTGACATTTTAAACTTGAATACTTTAGGCTAGCATTAGGATAACCAAAACTTAAAACTATCCTTAAAGGAATATGGAACTTTTTTCCCTTCACAGGTGCTAGGGGACAGTTGTGTTAATTGTGTTGATGTGGAGAGAGGTGGCTTGCAGGATAGAAATATTGCACTTAAAATATGATAGAAAACTATGTCTTTCTATTCTTGTGCTAGATTCTTCTGGCGCCTGCACCCTCAGCAGGTTGATGCAGAGCTGTTTTTGACAAAATCATTTTGGCCAGAACTGCCCAATCGTGTCGATGCTGCATATGAACATCCTTCTCACGACCTTATATTCATCTTCCGAGGTAAGCCATCCAAGGTGAGGCCTTCCACATGACCAGGAGAGACAGTGATAGACTTGAGACTTAATAAAATGATCACTACCAGAAATACACCTAAATTAATGATCAGATGAAAACCAAAAACCACCTGACCATTCTACCAAATATCCCTAAATTTGATATGCAAGAGTTCTATCTTATTAGCTATCATATCTATTTGCATCATATCCATAATTTCAATTTTTTTTTCTCGTGGTTTCTCTTAAAAGTTGCTTACTGGGGGCTGGAGAGGTAGCTCAGTGGTAGATCTCTTGCTGAGACTTCCATCATTAGCACTGAAAAAAAAATCTCTATATATTGCTTACTGAAAAACCATAACATTGTACATTTTGAAAAAGTGAAAAAATGTTAACTATAATTCCCCTTTCTGTAAACAAGTTCATTTTATTATGTTCTCACTTTCTTTTCTAGTCCTTCACCATATTTAATACATATTGTTTACATATTTGGTTTCAAAGCATAGATACAGGTTTAAATTCTACTTATTCTGTTGATATAAAATCATGAAAAATTTCCAAATTGC